TTGTTTAAGTTAAACAAAAACACACACAAAAAAAGAATCTTCTTTCGTTACATCTTGTAGAAAGCGTATCAATTGGTTGCAAATATATTCCGTGCGTTTCTTCCACAATCCTTATATATACTTCATTCAAATCGAGTTGTGCATTTTAAGTCAAGGAAGAAAAAAATATGTATTTTACTATCCCCGTACTACAATTCTTATTTGGTTGCCATTATTTAAAGATGTTTTTATCTAGAATCATTTATATTTAAAGACACAACCACCTACTGGCATTCATTTGCAGTTTCAATAGATCTCCAATATCATTACACCTTTATGACATGTTCTAAAACAAATTCAGTTAAGTAAGATATCTAAGCATTTCCCTACCCCATAACACACCTGTATCATTAAATATTATCCATTAACATTTCCTTGTTATTATTGTAGTTGACTCAAAAGTTATTTACTGTTTATCTCACCTCTCCTCTTATTCAAGAGGCAACTGGACTTTCTGGTTTTTCTTTTGAAAACGTTACGCTTCTCATCCAAGGAGCTCAAAGGGGTCCCATTGTAAGATTTCATCAGCAGTTTCCTTATCATCCAAATCCTTGGCTTAAAGGTTGACATTCATTCAGATCAGGAACATCCATTTTTCCCAATTTTTTTTAAAAAGTCCAGCAGTATCCTGTTCCAACAATGGTCAACACAACAGAGGTAGTCCTCGACTTATGACCACGAGGGAGTCCAACATTTCCATTGCTAAGCAAGACAATTGCTAAATGAGTTTTTCCCCCATTTTACAAGCTTTCTTGCCACAGTTGTTAAGTGAATCAATGCAGTGGTTAAGTTAGCAACGCAGCTGTTAATGGGAATCTGGTTTCCCATTGACTTTGCTTGCCAGAAGGTCGCTAAAGGGGATCATGTGACACACACACGCACACACACACGGGACACTGCAACCGGTCACAAGTATCAATTAATTGCCAAGCATCTGAATTTTGATCACGTGACCATGGGGATGCTGTAACGGTTGTAAGTGTGAAAAATAGTCAGGAGTCACTTTTTTCAGTGCGGTTGTAGCTTTGGACGGTCACTAAATGAACTGTTGTAAGTCAAGGACTCCCTGTATTTGTGGGAAGCCTTTAAGCAAGACAAGAAGGCTACTGCTCCCCTACAGGTGGCCTGGAGCCCAGAAACCAAGCAAATCAACAGCTCTTCTCCATAAAGCATTTCTTCAATTGAAAATGGGATGGGATGGAATGGAATAGAATAGAAAACAGAGTTGGAAGGGACCTTGGAGGTCTTCTAGTCCAACCCCCTTGCACTCAGGCCTCTTTCTCTCTTCAAATATCCCTTTTTGCAATTTTGGGGGAATCCGCCAGAATAGAATATAAAATAGAATATACAAAATACAATTTAGAATAGAATAAGAATGAATAGAATAAAAATAAGGATAGGATAGGACAGGATAGAATGGAATGGAACGGAATAGAAAACAGAGTTGGAAGGGACCTTGGAGGTCTTCTAGTCCAACCCCCTGGCATTCAGGCCTCTTTCTCTCTTCAAATATCCCTTTTGCAATTTTGGGGAATCTGCCAGAATAGAATAGGAAATAGAATAGAATATATAAAATAGAATATAGAATAAGAATAAATAGAATAAGAATAGGACAGGATAATAGAATTGGAAGGGACCTTGGAGGTCTTCTAGTCCAACCCCCTGCTTAGGCAGGAAACCTAATACCATTTCAGACAAATGGTCATCCAATCCCTTCTTTAAAAATTCTTTCATTCAATTGCTTCATGTCGCTATCTTAGCTATAAGCTTTACTTCCTAAAGACATTTTAGAAAAGACGACATTTTGAGTGGATCGTGTAATCAGGGGAAGCAAGAAAAAAATCCTTCCGATCGACGGGAAACAACGCCACTGGATCAGTGGTAACCATCAAGCCAATACCTGGATGTACAAATTGATCCCTTATGAAAAACGTTTATGAAAAACAGGAGAGGCGGAGAGAAAGATCCGATATCAATTGAATCGAATAGGTCACAAGGGGACGAGTTCTTTTTATAACTAAAAAAGAAATCCACCAAAGACGATAAAGGGAGCACATCGGGGTCCCTGCAGATTCCCTGACATGTTTGTGAGCAGGAGATCGCAGCTCCTGTTCATTTCAACAGATCCATAATGTCAAGTGTTTAGAAAACAGATCCTGCGGCATGTGCAGGTAGTCCTCGACTTACAACGGTTCACTTAGTGACCATTCGGACAGCACTGAAAAAAGGAACTTGTGAACAATTTTCAGACTTATCACCATTACAGCAGCCCCCAGGCTCACGTGATTTACAGCTGAATGCTTGACCACTGACTCACATTTATGACGGTTGCAGTATCCCAGGGTCCCTTTTGCAACCTTCTGANGAGAGCGGGCATCAGAATTTCATTTTTAATGTATGCCACTGTGTACACAGAAAAAGTGACAATAGAGGTCATCTTATCTTATTGTGAATAAGATGAACATTACATACACCGGTAGTTGTGTTCAGTACTAGAAGGGAAAAGTGTTTAAGAAAGAAAAAAACCGGAGAAACAAGGCATGCCTAAGCGCACCAGCGCGCCTAACGTCCTTGTCCTACTGTCCACATTTATTTGTACCCATTTCCTGCGTTCTTATTCCTGTTTATTCTGATTCCTGCTACTGTATCTTGTACATGAGGGACAAACTACATAAATAAATAAAATAAACACTCATTTCTCCTGGGACTTACTGTCTGTCTGGAGAGCTGAAGTTAGCATTTCTCGGCATTTGCCTCGAACTGTGTCACACGTGATGGGCACTGAGGGGAAAGTGGTGATTTTGGGAGTGGTGGGAGTTTTTACGGACTCCTGCCTTTTGATGGAGCTGAAAGAGAAAACAAACCTGTCAGGATTTTGAAGGTAGAATTCTGTATCTCTAGACGTTTCGAAGCCTCCCTCCTATTTTACCTGCAACATTATTTATTCTTTCCAAGTCTTTGGAATATAGAAAATAATCTCCAAACCTCTCTTGCGGTGTTCCCCACATCTCTGAATCACAGGATTAAACTCACTAAAAGATTTTAAATGAATTCAAGAAGAGAGTTTTGAAAATTCAACTAATGAGACAGTGAAAATGTAAATGAGGAGAACTTTAAGCATTTAGACAATTGAGCGTAGTGACACCCCCTTTTATTTTTACAAAATTGGTAAAAACAACTGCAGTGATTCACTTAACAACCGTGGCAAGAAAGGTCTTAATGTAGGGCAAAACTCACTTAACAACTCTCACTCAGCAACAGAAATTTTGGGCTAAAATTAAAGTTAAAAATAGCCTTTATAGCAGTGTTTCTCAACCTTGGCAACTTTAAGTCCTGTGGACTTCAACTCCCAGAATCCCCCAGCTGTGCTGGTTGGCCTCAGGGTGGATTTGATTTAAATCAAGTCGACTTATATCGAAATTGAAATCACTCGTAAAAGGGCTTGATTTAAATCAACTTGATTTAAATCATCATTTTTAAAGAGCAATTGTAGTCTCTGTCCTGCAGCGCTCCTCCTCTGACCTGCTATTGGCTCACCGACTGTCCCAATATTAGAGCCGAGGTGGCGCAGTGGTTAGGGTGCAGTACTGCAGGCCACTTTAGCTGACTGTTATCTGCAGTTCAGTGGTT